ATACCTCTTGACTGGATTCCAGTAATATGCGGATAATCGTGAACTAACCGTATTCTCTGAAGAATATGGGGTTGCTACCGTACGACATCGTTACAATCATGCATTCAGTCCAGGGAACGTAGAAATGAAACCATTCCCTAGGGCGGGTGATCCCAAGTTCATGGTTCTTGACAGTCCTAAATCTTTTGTTAACTGGGACAAAAATGCCTACCTTACCACTTTGGCACATTTGTGATCACAAGAATTTTCGGCAGTACCGTAGGGTGCTTTTTGAGCGGTAGTCACGCAGTGCCCAGTAAACCCGGCTATGGTTTCTATCTGTTGTAAACTTTCCTCCATACTGACTACTATTGTAAGACGAATAACCTTTGATGTACTTCTTGAATTTTTCCTGCTTGACTTGCCCACCAGTGCTCGGAATAAACACATGGCATTCCTGCCACTGCCTTCTCACTTGCTACTCTATGGTTGTCTAAAGCGAACTGTCCTGAGCGTTAGCCGTAAGCCTTTGGGTCCAACACTGGTGAACCCGACGCGATCATAGCCAAGTTTACTGGGCGCTACAGTCCAGCCGCTTCACACGCATTAGGAGAACCCAGGGCCGGTCTCTCATCACTAACCTCTTAGGAATAAGCGGCAATTTCAACACATCCAGAGGTAGCGCACTAAATAAGGTGGACGGCTATGGTTCGAAACGTCTGCGAAATAAGCAGACGGATCCAAATCCTTTGTGTCATAAACAGCTAAGGAGTTACTTAATAACGAAGTGAACAATTCAAACGTCGTAGGTCATCCGCTTTATTAATTCCCTAAACTTCAGTCTAACATGGATGCATCGTGCGTTGCCCATCTGCAACCGAAAGGTCAGTTTAGCGGTGTTCATAACTGAAAAACGGCTTTTAATCATACCACGGCAGTGAACGCAATTCATTGGACCAACTGGGGGTGAAAACTGATACAAAAACATTACCATCTTTTCAACCGGAACATACTTCCTGTTGGTGCTCCACAGTCGTCCGAACTGTGGAATTTTTACAGTCTCCATTTCTCTTCGAGAATCATTTACCGAGCATCATCCTTCTTGGTCTGTGCGTGCACACTCGGAATTTTCGATTAAAGTTGCTGACCAAGTGGGGAGAGAGTAAGGGGCTTTTGGTAGTGAGCTATTTCCTGTATCCCTTCCTCCTTTTGTCCTTTATAGAATCCGTGCACTTTGTACAACCTATTTACGACGGTACAGAAGACTAGGTCGCGACCTATAACTCATTTGAGGAGCTTGGTAGACGGACAGAAACTAGTTGGTACAGAGCGGCAAATCGCTACAATGCCTCCAGCCTACAGGATCTGTGCACCACTGTCAGGCCAGACACAACAGCTACCGAAACCGGTAAACTCAGTGAGACAGAGCGACAGAAATACGCCTCATAACATCCTGTTGGTAAAAAAAGACAGAGAAAACTCAGATACCGATAGCGAGTATACCTACGGACGCTACGGTTGACCTCAACTCACACAAAGCAGACCACGCCATCATCAACGAAGAGCAAACCTCTGATGACCGCAGTGTTTGCAGTGCATCGGATTCGGAAGTTCAAGAAGCCTCTGTGCGTTATAATTGCCCAAAATGGATACACTGTGACTGTGATAAGGGTATATCGGGTCAACACTGCAGCTTCGCGACGAAGCACCCATGCTAGTGGATGTAGTGCATATGACCAGAGTGTTGGAATTTATCCGCTAGTATCACCAGCAAACCAGGGAGCACGGTACAACCTAAGATATCCCAAGACATGATCTCTCAAAATCTACCCACAGAAACATGGGAAGTTCTGTGTGCGCCTAGGCCACGAGCTCACAAAAGTGTCACCCCTGGACATAGAAAGCTTTCAGTTCCCAAGCCGTCTAAGGTGTCAATGGAGTCTTCACTTGTGTCCAAACGACCCACTCGATCCAACGAAACTGAACAACCTGAAGAAACAAATAATGTCAAGGATATATGGATGGAAGTGAATGAGGTAAAGGGTAGAACAAAAACATTGGCTACCAAACCCAATGCTCTTCACTTACGGAGCAGGAGAACGGGCTCCATCTTCTTGATCAATGTTCCCAGGCCAACAGACTCTCTTGGAGAAAGGATGCAGTCTGAAAATGAAAGATTGGCCGACTTCTGCAAAGGTCCAGGAGAAGAACCCATCTCGTCAAGCTTACTGTGTCTCTCCCGAGGAAGTGGAGTACGTCGAGATAAGCTTCCACCTCTCAGGGTGCTATTTATGATAGGGAGACGGTTGCAAGAGATGCTGCTGTCACGCTGACCAGACACAGCGAACTCCTGCCTCATGCGGGTGAAGTGAGGTAAACCGTAGGCCACCAGTGAGGCGGAGGGGAAGTCCGCCCTTCATGATCCGCACAGTGCTGCAACCATGGTGGTGCAAGGAATACCTAAACTGGCCGAAGGATCTACAGGATGTGATCATTGCTTCCTTGATGTCGAGCAGCGATGGCCAGAGGAGAAAATGGGACTAGAAAACTTGCCGCTCAGTGAGACCTACTCACCTTCAGAGCATCCATTCACCAAGGCTGTTAGCCGTACGCTCCAACTCCAAAGCATCGCCCACAGAAGCCCTTACAGCATGGTAGTGCATACATACTAGCCTCAAAAGAACCATCTGGTGAACCAATGCCTACAGATGTAGTGATGAACACTTCCATCATACCAACACAAGTATACCAGGGAGAATCGAAACCGGAGGCTTGTCATTCCAGTAAGGACTGGCAACCAGCATCAAATGCAACAGCGCAATGGCCCCCTAGCATGTCTCCCAACTGCACTAAACCCAGCACACGGCTTTTGACATGCTCCCAGGGTAACGTGAGAAGTCCTAAGGGCAAAATGCTGGAGATCTCGTCTGCATGAAGACATAACTGCGTACCTCACCACAGGTTATGGACGAGGTTGAGATCTAACTTCTTCTGACACACAGTGTGTCTTGTGGAATGCCCTGCAGACGGGGGTGCAGCAGTTGACTCCTCCTAATGACTGCTGGATAAGTAAGTGGACGCAAATGGCCTAGCATGAATAATCGCCAGCGGCAACTGAAGGTATGTTCATCCATTCCTGTGTTCCCCAACTCTAATATCTTCTAATAGACCCATTTCCCTACTGTTTCTAGTAACACATTTTCCCATTAGTATCTTCACCCCTCTTTCCCAATTCCTGACTCGCCTTTTAACTAGCGTCTAATGCTACTTTGCAGCTCCTTACAAAACAGGGAATGCCTTCAGAGCCTACGCAGTACTGCACTTCATGCGCAGACAGTTGGGTGCCCTAACCCCGGAACTCTTTGTGAAGCTGTATAAGATCTACATACGACCCCTCCTTGAGGCACACAGCGTCATTGCACCACCATATCTGAAAAGATACGTGAACCTCCTGGAGAAAGTCCAAAGGAGGGCTACAAAGGGTGTCGTGGGAATGGGGCGAAAACCATATCAGGACAGGCTGAAAGATCTAGGGCTCTACTCTCTAAGCTACCGTAGATTGCGTGGTGACTTGATAACGGCTTACAAAATACTAAGTAACCCAAGTCATCCTAACAGTGGAATCCTACGGAACGGCCACTATGGCGATCCTCGTGGTAACCCAAGGAGAATCGCCCACCAGAGAGCGAAAACCCGTGTGCGATCACACTCCTTCTCTCTGAGAGTTTGCGGCCGCTGGAACGCATTGCCTGCCAGGATTGCTACTGCTCCGTCTGCTGACAGCCTCAGGAAGAGGTTGGACAGTTACGCAGAGATACACGGTTTGCGCTCAACCAACTGGAATGTGGACTAGGCTGACACGACTTACTAACGCTGTAGGACCAACCGTTACTGAACACTTTGTAAGAACACTACCAATGAGAACGTGGCTCAACCTTATACCTTCCTGTGGACGTCCCTCCAGTTACCGTCTCCTACTGACAGAATTACTATATTCACATTCATCCTATCATGTTATTTATTATTCTTCCTTCTGACTTTACGCTCTCAAACTTTAACGAAAGCCCTCCTTATCACCTATTCCCCATGAACCTACCAGTGTTTCTTCTTCCGTGCCGTTTCCTTTTTCCTAATCCTTTTATTTATTTTTCTTCCTTTTTTCTTTTTCTTTTTCCATTTTGTCTCTCTGCCCTTTCTCTCTCTTTATTCCTCCGCACATATTTTCCATCTCCTTTTCACAACCAGTCCGACCAATCGTCTGCTGGCACAGCGTTTGAGGGACCCATCTGCATCACAGTATTCGGAAGAAAAAGCAAACAAACAACACTCCCTACAAATCTAACCAACACCCAACCACCCGTCGAGCTAACCGGGGCTACAGCAGCCGAGTAGGTAGATCTACTGCACCGGAATCCACTAAAGACCTGGAACCGTTCCGCAAGACCTAGAAGCGAGCGCTAGCTAGTTAAAAGATATTGGACACTGAAGTGATCTTACTAGTAGCTCCGTTGCTCCACTGAAGCAAACCGACCTAAATTTGCAAAAGAAAACCTTCAAATAGACAGTCACTTCCTCCAAAGCTATAGGCAGATAAACCGTGAAGATTCCTGCGACCGATGAAGGAACACAATCGAACAAAAATACTGAGCCTGAAGACCTAGAAGCGATAGCTCAAAAAATGCAACTTCCCTCCACTCAGACTATTGATACTTGATGTTAGAAGTGACAGATTAATCTGTACTCAAGACTGGAGTTGCACAACACAGAAGCGAAATCTAGAGGGTGGACACCTATTACTCCGTCAATACGGAAGTTCGGAGGTTTGGTTTGTAATGGCCTTTGTTATGGCGCATTAAATCGTTTGAAGGACGACCTTCAGTTTTTCAAACATCTACAAACAAAGTATGGAAAAGGCAAGGCATTATGCTTAGCCTAGGGAATCGACTTGTCGTGAGAAGTTTTCTGTTGATATTCACGTACAGTTTTATGAAGGCATTTATAAATGACATAAACCTCAGGATATGGCATGCGTCCCTTTGTTCAATAGACAGCAATGCTACAATTTTGAAGTCATCGTGAAACTGCATAGTTTAACTTCTGTTCCTTACGTAAATTCTGTCACCTTTGCAAAGCTTCGCCTTCTCAATAGTCGGAACTCTGGACAATATTCCCCTAGGTAGTTATTTATTTTCTTCTTATCCACTTAGAACCGAAATAAGAAACAACATCGTTACGTGGAACAGTGAACATCGTTTTCACTGCAAATTTAGGGGTAATGCCGAAACAACTATTTTAGAACCAAATATCTTGAAGGTATCCATCCGTATGGTGAGTTCATACTTATTTAGTCCCCACAATCGTTAAATGTGTACCCGTTTTCTCATTCATTTAAAATAATCTTAATCTGGTCTGGTTGAGTTCACTGTAGCAGGGGTTTAGTTTTCAGGTAATTTGTCATGTGGCTTAGAAAGGTATGTTAATATGGTTGGTTGCATTTTAGTAAGCGTGTATCTTTGGAAAAGCCTTTGACAGCTGTTGATCAACCTCAGTGTCCTTGGTTGTCATACGCTAACAAAGCTTGAGACCAAAAATACAAATGTCTAGCTATATCTACATAGTAAAGAAAGGATATTCATAAAACCTATCACTTTTGTGCTTCAGTTCTGTCAGCTTTTTTGGTATTAATCGTTTTTAAACGTTTGGGAGTCATTTCTCTGTTTCATGATGATTGGCACAAGGGGGAAAGTCAGTCAGTAAATCTTTACTACTAGACAGTTACCTACTTTCCAGGTGAGTAAGCTGCAAATTCCCTCCTGTTTATCTCATTGAACTCTGTCGTTTCCTTCCAGCTCGTACTGCTGTGCTCATCTCTTATTTACTTTCCTTGCTCAAACAGCTGAGATGACCAAATGTCGCGCATTTATGATTCATAATTGCAGAATGCAAGATATTATTCTATTGCCTGAGCAAGCCATATGCCTCATTTCCCGTAGCAAACATCGGGTTTTCGTATAGTTGAAAAGACTCCGATGTGTCGCCACTTATTACCATTGTTTGTCCTTCATAAAAGGTTCAATACCGAAGTGCACTATCACTTTTCACCCCCAAAATGAGTTTAAAGTGTGACTCTTGAATGAAATATGGTAATTATGCATGCTTAACTTTTATCATCTAAGATACTGAGATGATAAGAAGTACCAAGTAAAAAAAAAAACATTTTTAAGCGAAACTCGTAGTCACTCAAACTGGTTGTGGGTTTATATATATCTCCCGAGAAAGTTAGAAGTAGAGTTTCACATGAAGATAAGCCGAAAAATTAACGTAGAAGCTCGCATAGAAGTGCGTTGGTTGGAGTTGCCACACTTCACGAAAGTATGCAAGAATATGTAGTTAGGAAAGTGATATCAAAGTTGACTAGCGTATAGGAGGAAAAAGAATTTGAAAGTCAAGGTTAGTGAAAATCTCCAAGCCCTAGCAAGTGTCACAGCGTGAATACATTAATGCCATGGTGATCGATTTCCAACCATGTCACCAAGGTTCTCTAACCATCTGTTCCGATGATCTCGGGGACCCCAACCAAGCAATTTAAACCTCATTACGTGACTGACAGTCATTGACCTAATGGACTGGTACCACACCTTGATCTGACCACCCTTCTTTCAATGCAGTTGTACTTCGGTTAATATTACATGTCGAGGTAGGTTGTCGCTTGGCGTGCGCAACACATGGTAAGGTTGTTGCAGTTTCGAAGCCTCGTCTGATGAGTTTTCATTCTCACTCACCGCCTTCCACCTAACCTCTACATTGCTTACTTGGTGATTCCATCATATGTCAGCAATGTTGTGAAGTCTCCTGTGTTCGGAAACCTGTAAACTCCTGGCATCTTTCAACGACGACGTTTAACAGCCGCATGATAGAAGGAAACGAACTGTAGTGCAGTATATTCGTCCTTTAACAGTTAGTCGGATACCTCCCACGTGATAGAGATGATACAAGTTGGCAAATGCCAAATGGCGCTTCTGTATTCGAGCTGAGATTTTGTCAGCAAACAGCCTGTTCGTGTTGATGTAAGTCCCCGTTCAAGTGAATCAGTCGACTCATTCTACCGGTTCATTACCTATCCCTAAACTGGGAGTAGTTGCAGGGCAGTAAGGAAGCAAATTTTATATCTGCAAAGCACATCCCAAACAAGCACAGGTTTTTACTCAGGGCGTTTAAAAAACTGAATTTGGTCAGAGATTTTGCCTAACAGGACAATGCGTACTTCTAGTCAACTAGATGCCCTTTAGAGAGCAGACTAGTCCTTTTGTGGTCAGCTGCCAAGGTTTTCCATTAATTTGTCTATGAGGAAGTTGAAGAGGAACGCTGGCAGCGATCACCCTTGACGAACGCCACTAGTTGTCGCCAATTCAGAAGACAACTCTCCATAAGCCCTGACATGGCTTTGCGAGTCCGAGTAAAAAGCTTTGACAAGAGTTATAAACTTTCTTGGTACCCCCTTCACAGTTAGAAACTGCCACAGTACCTCGCGGTTGAAAGAGTCGAATACCTCCTTAAGGTCAAGAAATATGATAAGTGTCGTCTACCGGTAAGTATACCTCTGTTCCAGGACCTGTTGGAGAGTAAAAGTCTGGTCGATGCACCCTCGTCCAGATCTGAAACCTGTCTGGTTTTCTCGAGTTTGCTGTTCTGAAGCTCCATTTAAGCGTCCGATTAGTATAGACCCTGGGATCTTGGACACTACTAATCAAACCAATTCCCCTATGTTTGTCACAGGAAGACTTCTCTCCTTTCTTATAGACTAGGGTGATCAGCGAAGTAGACCAGTCTGGCGGCACTACCTCTGATTCCCATACGCTGCATATGATCTTTGTTACTCCATTCAGTAATTTCTTACTGCCTTTAGACATTGAGGTAGCAAACCAACTGTTGCAGCTGTTTTTCACAGTTTGCATCGACACTGGAAAATGACAGCAGGAAGACCACTGCGACTGCTGCTTGACGATGAGAATAATATGGTTGCTTTCAGTGAGAAAGTGGTTAAACGGTTATCGGTACCGAACCCCATCATTCAGAAGAAGCTTAGTGCCATCTTCAGTCTGCCCAAAAAGCAGCACTAAAGACAGTAGATGACTTTCAGAAAGTGTTTAAAAAGGGGCCAGTAGATCTCAGCAGCTTCTTCTGGATTTGTCGATGCACATATACCTACATATACCTACAGCCTCTGAGTACAATGAGAAGCGTAAGCATTTAAAGTGTAAATGCATTAACCGCAAGTAGTGGTGCGTAGCAAAAGCTCGAGGTTGTAAAGGCAGTAACGATAACTAACAGTACACAGTTATTTAAATTTATCCAAGGAAACTAGGACGAAAAGTGAATGGTTATTGAGCCTATGTGACAGAAGATCTGTTGATCAATTGTTGTTTGATGCAGATATGGTGAAGATAGTGATGAGAGGAGCGAGCGAATGAGTCGAGGATGTATGGTGAATGACTAAGGTGTGGCAATAAATGAATCTAGATATACAGTGGGGGAAGGTAGAGAAGACACGGAGTGAGTCATTGAATGCGTGTGTGAGAGAAAAAGAGGGAGAGACAGGCGGATATAAGAAGGAGGGTGTGCAGGGGAGTGGTTCAAGTGTAGTTGTATGCCGATTGCGTTGAATGCGTGACTTCGCTCCCACTGTGCAATACTGATCTGCATTATTGGAGGATGAGATTCAATTCATCACCAACATCAGCATCAGCATCATATTCCACTTCTATTTCTTCTTCGTATCATCTCGATTGCAATCGCTGATTTCGTAATTATTGTTTCTGGTCATCTGTTTACTGTTTTAATGCTCGGCGTAAATATTAGCACAACGATAGACGTAGTAAGCAGATGTTTACTATTGATAATATTCATGCGCATATTTGTTGCATCCACTGGTGTCGGTCGAGTTGCAGTTGGTCACTAAAGACGTGAAACCACTTCAAGGCCTATTTGCAGGCAGTGAAGTGAGAAGTGGATGGTGAATACATCAGTGATTGTTGCCATTGGATTCACAGTGCAGTCACATGTGCATAACGTGGAGGGTTGTCACTATCTGAGATATTGTCACTGTGAGAGATTGTGTCCCTCCACACGGTTGGATGTCAGTGGAGGACTGAGAAAGCGCCTATCGACACGACACGACACGAGTCGATGATATCCCCGATGCTCGTCTTGTGTAGAGGTCCTCGGTTTGGAATTCCGCACTACTAAGGCTGTGCTGTTCAGTTGGGGCAGGACAAGTCGTTGACATGCAGCACGAGGTTATGCTTGCAGAGTGTTTATGCTGTTGTTGTTATTGCTTTTATTTAGTATGTGTTTATATGCGTGGGTGGTTAGTTGTGTGTTTAATGCGGGGAGTTTGTGGGGATGGGGGTGGGGGTGTATCTACTCTGTTATGTCATACTATTTTGTATTGTCTATGGTATGGTCAAAACACAGACAGCGACGCCCAACACTGTCTGCATTTCTCGAGCTGGAGACGGTATTCGGCTACATCGACCTATAGGTCTTAAGGAAGCGTCTCCTACTGAAATGGATGCCTCTTAGGTACACCATTCTGTTGAACGCTGTGCACTCGAACACCCAGGGACATGTTATAGCCTGTGGTGAGTTGTGTACATCGACTGTTGTCCGTCAAGTATGTCCGCTCTATTCCTATTCAACGTGCTTACATAGTTCTCCTCGTTGTCTGACTTTCCAAGGGTTGGTCTTACAACAGGAAACTGTGTAGTAGACTGAGCACACAGATGACAGTATTGTTAGGTGATGCTAACAAAATACAGAGCCTTCTGGACGCTTTGAGTTGCAATTTGAGGATGTTTGGGATGTTTCTCACCACCCAAATGCAATTTGTTGCCCAAGATTTGGTCTGCGTCGGTACGCTAAGTAGCATCAACATATGAAATGATTGGGCACGTTGACTACTTCACTTACCTACCAAGGCGGATCAAGCCTGGATAGAAAAGGTTTGATTGACTTTCACCAATTTACTCCATTTATGGAGTCGCGGTGATATCCGATTGCCTATTAAAAACCGATTGTACTCCACTCTGGTTCCTTTTTATCTGCTACATAGCTATGAAACATGGCTATTAAAGGTAGGGAACATAGGAAAACTTCAGGTGTTCGACCACTTTTTTTGTAGCATGGATTATTTCGTACTGTCACCACGTGAGTAACGTAGAAGTCAGATGTAGAGTTTTAGGGAGAAGAAGGAAGTCAGTTAATGAGGTTGTGAACCTTGATTGACTCAGATGGCTGAGTTATATGTTACGGTCTGCCTCATTGCATAGTGTTAGCTGAAGTGGGTCCTGGCTGGAAAAACGTTAGATTCGGTCATACTAAACCATGGCATCAGTGCGTAAAAACTTTGACTGTTGTTCTGAATCGTGTAAATGAATGTAAACTTCGCGGTTGGTGTCCGCATGGCAATTGAAATCGGTGGATGAAGACTTAAGACAATATGATTCACAATCGATCACAATGGTACAGGTGCACCGCATATTGTTTTCATCTTAATCATCGTGCTGTAATTCAGTATCCTCTCATTCCTCCCTCCTCTCTTTTTACTACTTTATGCCACTTTTGACCGCTTTCTTTTCCACTTCTTTATCTACCATCTTGGTACGTTCTCGTTTAATGTGTCGATGTGAGGTGTAGTAACTCGGACCGCTATCTAGTGATGCCAGGTCCTATGTTGATTTTATCTATCTATCTGCATTGCTTGAGGTTTGAAACACCCTTCTCAAATTCGAATTAGGTTAGAGGACCATCGTCTACGTCCCACTCAGGTCTGGGCCGGATGTTGGGCAACAAGCGTTAGACTGTGCTTCAGAATGTCCCATGCTGCGTTTTCTCCGCCTATCATGAGAGGTTATCAGGGTACCATCCTCCACAGTCTTCTTGGCAGTATCCTTAGTAGGTCTAAAACTTGCCAGACGTTAAGTAGTGTCGATGCCTTCTCTACCTCTTTCGCCACCCATCATTTCACGCGATCATTTTAGAGACACGTAGTCAATTCACTTGTCAGCTGCGTTTGCACCTCATTATGGTTATAAACAGTAAAATTAGCCCCGCGTCAGTCAGGATGAGGTTGAGGAAATCCGCTGACTTTGGCCCACCTTCGCATGTAGGCTACTGAATGTCTTTACCTCAGTTTGTTCGGCAGACCGAATATTACGCTAGTTTTCATCGTTGAGTTAGGGCTCATTGGACTAGGGAGTTGTTTTTCAAACATTGCCTCGGGAGTTCGAACACAGCCCCACCTACCGACATTTGTGCAGCCAGGTAGTATCACTAGCCATCACACACCAGGTGTGGCTCATTGCCTACTGCTGCACGAGTGTGCAAAAGGTAACTGAGTGAATTACGATTCTTCGACTCGTTAGATTTCATCAGGATGAGCACTGTTACCATGTTTAGATAAATGCTCAGCTATCTCCACCGTAAATGTTCGCTTAATGTCTTCATCCCTCATTTGAGCATACAAAGGCTTCACTGCTACCTGTTTCCTGCAACCAAAAAGGTGCGGTCGTACACGTGCCCATACTATTACATGATCAGATCCCCGAAAGTGCGCTAATCCTCCATCGATGGCTTATAGCAATATGATCTATCTGTGTCCATCGTTGCTTTGGTTTCAGCGAATGCCAAGTGAAACTCTCTATATGCCTGCTGTTAGTGTTGGCAAAAAACAAGTGATTGTCTGAACAGAATTGCTACGGACAATCACTGTTGTCAGTTCGTTGGTATGGGATACCGTAGATACCTTCTAGATGTCTTTCTGATTAGCTCAGCTTCCCTACTTGACCGTTTTTCGTAGGCAATTAGGCGTGAATGGGCATCAAAGGTGTGGTTTATTGGTCTAAGCACTTGTTTCCAACCGACGGGTCACGGTTTCAAACCCGTCTTTCCCTACTGAGGTTTGGGCAACCTACTACTATCATTAGCCCTCATACAATAAATATGGCTCATTGCCTACTGTGCAAACGTGCATAGAGTTGCCAGGTGGTTTCTATTATTTTCGATAGACATATCGCTTCAGTCGGATGGAACAACCAGGGCGGTTGACTGATATCTAGTCAATAAGTGCGCTTTCTGGTCTACAAATTTATGCTGTATTTGCGCCGGCAAGTTCCATGAATGTCAGCCATTGAATTTCCGGACCCTCACAAAGTGAATTTCACAGATTCACTACATCGGCCAGGTGTAGTCAAGTGAATGACCACATTCTCATGTTTCAGAAACACAACTTACATCTTTGGCTCAAGACTTAAGAAGTTTGGCCAGAAATGTCGTGTCCAATTTGGCGTAGGGTTCAGACAGTGAAGTTTAAGGAGACTAGGGATCGTGTTTCGCTGGCGGGGTAAGGTTGAAGAGATTCTCAAAAAAGACACACTCAGCAACGTTTTGCACTTTCATGCAGTAAGTCGCACCTATTGAATGAGGACTAATCATGCTACTTGGTTGCCCAAACCTCAGTAGCTGGAGGTGGTTTGGGCCCGTGACCCACTGGGTGAAAGTCAACTAGCTGGGTCAGTAACCCACAGTTGTTACAAGAGACTTAATGCTGGTATCAGGAAGGGAATGCACACAGACAAGATCATCATAGAACCTCGAACATAAGTGAATGCAAGGGACGAGACGAAATTAAAGAGGATAGGTTATGGTCGATTGGGTTTCGTATACCTGAAAGTAAAAAAGAAATAGTTCTGAGTTACAGCATATTCCATGGGATATCTACTTGGGACCTGTCACACACGACCTTTTTAGTATTTTTGGATTGAGATTTGACTGTGCTAGCGGTGAACAAGAAAGACCTATCTCACTAATACTGAGATCCCGCAAGGCAGAAGGTTTTCTACTTTTGGAGCCAATCTTCTCTAACCCCCAAACATACCCATAGGGAAGACAGCATCAGCATGATACTGCTGTCACACCCCATGCAATCAACAGTGTGACTTTTCAATCAGACTCCAGTTTACACTAAAGCAGTTACTACTTCTTGCCTTACCATCGTCCAACATGCTTTTTCGCCATAGAACCTCAAGGAACAAGTGTCCCAGCCAGGGTAGTTTTAATATGCAAGCTTAATCACCACTTCGACATAACATCTGCCAGTCAGGTTGGCTTTCCGTCCAATAATGGTAGCATTTGCGTTAAGGTAGAGAAAGTTCCTCCATTGGTCGAAAAAAATTATGACGCGTTGGATGTTTCTTTTCGGTAAGGAAACAGAAAACGTTTTACTTTGCCACGTCAACACTGACTGCGTTTACATGAAGTTTAGTAGTTTACGAAAGAAATACTACTGATAGGTTAGAGTAACCTGCGCTTCACAATACCAGTAAACCAATTTATCCCGTTTCTATATGTTGTACCTAGTGTAAGAACTTGCTTTGCGTTTGGTAGTAAGTGGTTGAGAGGTTTTCACCCTAAGATGCATAAGATTGGTCGCAATTCGTACTAATTCATCTAATACTCGTCTCTCCGTTTGTGTTTCTTCTCAAAACTGTAATTCAGTGTTTTGCGTACTTTTTCCATCCATTTCTTTATAAATACAAATATTTTCAAATAGACCACATTTTGAGTAGTGGATTCTAGACATTATCTGCCGTCACACAATAAGTTCCACTCTAAAGATTTTGGATTAATCTATTCATAGTTTCCGAGTTACCGTAGTTTGTAAGGTGGGGTTGCCTGGCAGTGGTACCTATCAAAATTCGTGGTTACAAGGTGAAAAAAGGCTTTGAATTCATTGACTTTGTTAGTCCCATGTGTTTTTATCCTTTTTTAATTGTGCTCGAACTACATATCACTAACATAAATGGTTGTGTGCTAAAATTATGGGTAGTTTTATATGACCAAATCCATGTTTTCCACAAAGTGAATGCTAATTTACAGGAGTTATAGTACAGTCCCCTTATTGATTTTCATGCCATAAACTGGGCAGTTTATGTTGATCTGAGAGTGAAGGATATATTTCGTTCATCATTTGTTTTTCCAAAAACTTTTATCCTAAAGTAACTAACTGTCATACATTGATTTAATCTTCTTTTTGCAGGAAACCAAAGGTGGCAAGTCATTTTATAAAGTTGGCTTTGTCAATATTAATTTGGCGTGTTTTGCTGCTGTTGGCAATGTAGTTAACCATCGACGGTATATCCTAGAGGGCTATGATGGAAAGCGTAAACGCCAGGATAATTCTCTTTTATCGATTTCGTTCTGCCTACGACAGTTAACTGGAGACAACTGTTTCCGGACGTAAGTTCGTTTGTGTATATATGATTACGTTCATATTAAACAAGGCATACTTTAAATTTCGTCATAAATATATCTTACATATTAATGCTGATATTGCTACTACGCTTGTAAGTCAGTCAGCATCAACGTAGAACTTAGTATTACGGCCTAATGGTCCAAGTTGTCACATCATATCAGTACATCATAGCGGTAGGCACACTTATGAAGGACAAAGAAATAAGGGAGAAAGTAATCAAAGTGGTACAAAGTTATCAAACGAGAATTTGAAGAAATTAAACAACAACGAAATGAAACATAACTATCTAGACAGAGATTGTGCGTGGATACATTTACGCCACTGAAATCGGTCCTGAAACACATTTAAAGTGTACAACCTATCCTAGTACGGTTAGACTAAGACATATAGACCTCCATAAGTACGTCTGACAAAATTGAATAAGAATGGGGAATATTACTATCTAACCAACCTTTCTAATGTTGTAGAACCTCAAGGGAACTAATTTTCCTGCCAGTATCGATTTATGGGTGATTGTGATATGCAAACCCTACCACCTCATCAAGTTAGCAGTTATCGTTTGGCGTTACTACACTAACAACCTTATTGATAACAGTTGCTTTATACCTGTGAGGTAGCTATTGGAAATGGATCACGTGTTGCAGCCATAGAGTGGAACGCGTTGATTTTAGTTGTAGAGATGGATATATTGGTAAGGTTATATACGTGTAGCCATCACCTCTTTCAAAATAGTATTAACTGAAGCCCTTGTGGCTCAGCGGCCGATGAAATCTCTGCACGGATACAAAAAGCTCGGCTGGCTTTCGCCAACTTACACCACCTACGGCGCCGCCATGATATCTGATTGTCTATTAAGGGTCGCGTGTACTGCACAGTAGTCCACCCTGTTCTACTGTATGGCTGTGAAACATGGCCGTTGAAGGTGGAAGACATGAGAAAGCTTCAAGTGTTTGACCACCGTTTCCTTCATAGTATAGGCCGTATTCCGTGGTGTTACCACGTGAGTAACGCTGAAGTCATGTGTAGAGTTTTAGGAAGTAGAAGTAAATCAGTTGACGAGGTTATGAACTTTCATCGACTGAGATGGTCGAGATACGTGTTACGTATGCCTAGTCGCTGATTGCCTTGTCATACAATGTTGGTCGAAGTAGGTCCAGGCTGGAAAAAGGTCCGATGCGGCCAGTCTAAAACATGGCATCGATATATGAAGTGTTTGACTGTTGGTTTGAGCCATGTGGGAAGATGCAGACTAGCCGGTTGAGGTCGGCGGGACAAGAGGAACCAGTGGTTGGAGACTGTAGGTAGTGATATGGCTCAGAACCGATGTCAGTGGCGCAGATGTGTACACACATTATCCTCATCTTAACGACGCTATACGGAATCTAACCATTTTCTCATTCTTCCTTTCTCTCTTTTCGTGCTTTATATTTCTTTTGACTGAATTTTCTTATCTTCATCTTGCGCCTCACTGCTTTTTTACTTGATATAGTGGTATGAGGTGTGGCAAGTTGAACCGTGAGGTAGTAATTCCTGGTCCTATGTTGATATTGATGATGATGATGATGATAATTGGAGTAAAATGAGACGTGATCATAGCTAAGGGTAGACAGATTAAGATATGACACTAGTCGATAAAGTCACAAACTTTTGACTTGAATTCTATGATGAAGGATAAACTGCTCTGGTGAGTCCCTGGAGATAGAATCGGTGATTAGAGACTCTCAACGAAATAGCTCAAAAATGTATCAAAATTTTGTCGATATGTACACACTCTTTATCGTCTTTAAAATTCGAAATATTTTACTAACTTTCATGTAATTGTTATGAAGCCCGCCCCCACCCAACCCCCTTTGATATTCTTCTTAATTTTGCTTATTTCCACTTTTTATGCTGTTTTGAAAGTAGTAGCATGAACCGTTAAATTTTCATGCAAAGTTCTGTATCAATTTTTGTCTTTGTACGAAAGGGATTTCACCTCAGTAGGATAAAGGAGTTAATCTTTAAGAAAAAGTTTGTTACGTAACCATTTAATGTGCAGCAGTACTGATAAATCCCTCTTAAATGCTTTGACATGAGTTTATCCGAAGAAATCCCTTCATAACTTCGGTCGAAATAGACGTCCTTTTTTCTTTAACATATTTATCAGGTCGTTTGTGTACTACTACTGACATAGTAAAACATAAGCTCTCCGAGGTCGAATCGTAGATTCACTTATTTGTATTTGATTTTAATTTTTTTAGAAGTGTGTGCGAGTAAACAGAAATTATAAGAGTAGTCGCTCGTCAGTAGTATATTGCATAGATTTCTCCCCTTTTTGGAATGTTTGACTAATGACCCATAGGTGTACGGTATGGTAATATGAAAAACTGTATCACAATTGGTACTTAAATAGCTCTAAAATGAGATTGTTGTATACATTGGTCCGCTAAATGTATAGTAACTATGTACTATTTTTGTTTAACAAAAGCAGCAAACAACAACGTTTCGGTTTTTCTTCTATTTTTCACTCTTTATTATTAAATCTGTACGGTATTATCCCGACAAGGAAGGCACCTCAGAGACGTTGCATAAGATTCTCAATTCTCGGCTGGGATTAGAGTGGCATTTAAACCTACAAACTCACTTAGAAATAAACTTTGTAAGTTAAAAAATCCTATTAATCCAATTAGGTAGAATTATTTAGTTTAAGTCAAATACATATGTGAAAGTAATCAACCAGGTTCAATTAGGCTATCCGAACACAAAAACGTAGCTGGGTCAAAACTGATAGATCCTAGTATGGTAAGGAATCTAGAAAAACGCTCGACCACAGCCACACAATAGGATGGGACAGGGTAAAAACCCTTAAAACCAACATAGCTGGGTGGAAGGAGAAATTAATAACTGAGTCTTCATTGAATCAACACCTAATACATGCAACAGGAATGACTCAAGGCCGGTTCTGGATATATGGGAAGTCTTACTACCCATATCACAAAGGGTGCGAATCAATTAGAAATATGTGTAAATCCATACCTCACAGTTACGGAGTTATCTTGACTATGGACGATGACTTGTGTCCGAAAGGTAATCCGGTAAGTAATACTGTCCTATTGTATGATACATCTAATAAATCAACTGAAGGGGAATTAAATTCTATCACAATGCCCAAGTCTTAATCTTATGTTAGCCGTTCACCTAGATGATGAAATATACACCAAGCGATAAAAATGAGAGTAAAAATGATCCTCTCATTATTGCTCAGAAAAGGCAGAATAAGGTGGAATAAAAGAAGACCATAGATTCAGCATAATGTAAGAGAAAGATTTTGAACTGTTTAAAATTAAACTATGCTTCAGAACCCACTATGATTTACTCGTCTACTGTCGATTGCCTCCTAAGGCGTGCGATATGTGTTCGACGTAAGCCAAATTTATGTCAATATAACTTTAAGTTTACAAGAGATATATAAACTATGACGGTTTCTGATATACTAATGATGGATAGTGGGCAGCAGTGGAATCTGGGATGCGCGTTTCATCCTACTTGGGACTCGTTCGCTGGGTGCACTTGCTTCCAGTTGAATGATGTTGCCCCTGCCGGGACTCCAACCCGAGACCGACTGCTTTGAACCCCAGAGGGTTATCCACTACACCGCCGAACCACGATAGCCACTTCTTATGCGACAGGCATAGTTTCATTGTTGTTGCTTGTATTATTCTGTCGCTGATTAGACCGAATAGATCAGTCACTGTTGACATATGGGCTCCTGTGTGGATGCCTCGATATTGCCTGTTTTAATTCTATGTAATGTAATGATAGATAGTGGCTAGCACTGGAATCCAGGACACGCGCTTCATCCTATTTGGGACTCGTCAGTTACTGGTTTATAATTTTGATCATACGACAAAACGATGTCATATATTACATCTTGTTTTTCGGCATTCTATACAGTTTGTAGGTGTAACGAAAATATATGGATATGTTATACCGTGGTATAAATAGGGTTAAGGGGTTTAATTAAGCCTCTCAAGTAAGCTGTAGCTGAATTCATTTAGTCATTTAGATAAAACACACTTTAATTTCTCTCCGTTAGTCGATTTTGTTCGACTAGTCTGTATTGTTCATAACACTGTTGTTCGTAATACTACCTGCTTTAATTGATTGAAACATATTGTTCATACTGTATTTTGTCTTTGGATCAGATCTCGAACTTCACAAAGATTTTTGAGATGCATCTGATGTCACTGTATGAATCCCCCGTCTTTTGATTTTTTGTCATTTCCACATCCATCTTTTTTGTCATCAAAGTCTGTACTCTCAACTGTGAATAAATTATGTATAAAGGCCTTATTGTTCATCTCAATAATTTCCCACATAACTGATAGGCTTTATTTTCCAGTTGATTTCGAATAGTTTTATAATTCTTCTGGCTGATGGGTTCACACTTCCTGTATATGCCATCAAATATACCGAAGATCAAAATGTCGCATACTCTAATATCTCTAACTATAGAGGGTCTCAACATTTCGATGAATTGTTTATCATTAGTTTGTCTCTCATATAATCATAAATTGCCATCCAACTGTTTCATATTTTGATGATTTGTCACAATCTCTTTATCATTAGACTTCAACTTTCATACCATGTCGATTCAAAACAGTTTTATCAGCTGTTTCTCAAATTTGGTTTTAAAAAAATATTTAAGAGACATGCTTTCATATAATTTGACTAAATGGTATACTCTTACGAGTTAATATTCATTTCGGTATCATCTTTTGCAATGAATTAATCATATCCTTCACTAAAAATATATGTTTAAATAACTCACTTCGTTGCTGGTTAATGTTACTTTGACTTGTAGAGCTTTTTGTTGCTGTATATCATGTAGTGGGATTGAAATAGTTGGTTATATAAAATCATTATGGTAGCCATCAGCACTTCTTTCTGTATAGTTGATATCACTATCATCACACTACCTTAATATAGGAGTAAAACTTAGACA